TCCCGGGTGCCAAAGGGAAGGCCTACTCTTGCACAAATTTTCATGCATCAGGCCTCTAGTATATATATAAGGCTAATACGCAAGCTGTCCCCTCGGGAGTTCGACCTGGAGACCGGGAGTTCAATCATTCGCTAAGACATGTGCTGACCACCAGGGGGCAGCATGGAATGAAGGAAGGCCCCAGCCGGCAGCCAGAAGGCCCTGATTGCCAGCCAGGCCTAGAGACCCTACCTGTGCACAAATTTTGTGCACCGGGCCTCTAGTAAAAATATATTTTTAAAAAAGAGAAGTGCATGTTTCATAGAGCTACCCTACCCCTTTCCTTACCTCTGTCTCCCCTCTTTACTTCCATCAACAAATACTTAATGCGCATGTACTATGTACCACTACATGCCAAGCAGCGTTCTAAGCGTAGAGAAGACAGCAGTAACCAAAACATATCAGAACCCCTGCCCTGCAAGGAGCTGACAGTCCAGTGACAGAAACTGATATGAAAAGCCATGGTTATCAGACAAATAGAATGATGACTAATAAGTAGACTCTTTGAGCTCCTTACACAGAGCCAGGTCTCCTCCCCCATCTATCACAGTTTATGTAAACTTAACTTATAAATAACTGTTCCTTAGACACACTGGCGCATTAAATGCGGACACCTGTCAGTGGGGAGCAGAGGCACCACTTGGTGGCTGCCTGACCTCTGCAGGCATCAGTCTCTCTCTGTGATGAGGAAATGCTCACACCTGCCTCACAGGCTCTTAGGGAGTATTCAGAGACCGTGTATCAGCACAGTGCCTGTTGCATGGTAACATACATCCTGTCCACCCTCCCTGCCTCCTTTCCTGCTTAGAGCAGGCATGGGGGTCTAAGCTGTTCCCCTCATCCAGCTCCCGGGCCTCCACTGCAGCTGCAGACGGGACAAGAGGCTTCTGAGCTGGCCTAGGGTCTCAAGGCAATGGGTATGCCATCAAGAACAGACACCAGCAGAGGGTGGGGCCCTGCACACCAACCCCCCGCCCCCCAACCCTCCAGCCTTCCCTCCAGTCTACGCAGCAGAGACTGGAAGAGGCAGCCACCCAACTGCAGGGCAGGCGATTGTCCTTGATGGACCTTGGGTGTGGCTGAGAGGCCTGCCTGGGGCCTGTACCCTTTCTCAGCACAGGCCAGCAATCCCGTGTGTGTGCCCTGGCAGCCCTTCAGGAGTCCCCCTCACCCAGCAGCCAGCAGCAGCACCTGTGAGAGGGCGCCTCCAGGGGACTGGGCCGGTTACCAGGCCCTGGGTTTTGCATGCTTTATTTCATCCTACTTTTCCCAGCAATGCTGCAAGTTAAGAGCTGTCATGCCCCATTTTACAGTTGAGGAAACTGAGGCTAAGAGGAGTTAAGAATTTGCTCAAGTCACTCTCCTAATAAGTGACAGAACCAGCATTTCAGTTCAGGTTCTCAAACTCCAGAGCTAGGGTCTTACACTGAGGTATACGCTTTTTCCTTTCTGCTATCCACCCACCACCCAAATCCCACATCAAATACACGGGCAGAGTTCCCTGGGGCCTCTGGGAGGGCCAGGGACACATGGTACTTTGTCCAGCCTACCTGAGTGCTGGCGTAAGCAGTGTTATAAGGAGACCATGCCCAAGAGTAAAGCCACAATGGAGAATATATATGCCTAAGGAACTGGAAGCCCAAAATAGTGTAATCGGAGGGATCTTAGAGGTCATCTCTTAGAGCAGTGGTTCTCAACCTTCCTAATGCCACGACCCTTTAATACAGTTCCTCATGTTGTGGTGACCCCCAACCATAAAATTATTTTTGTTGCTACTTCATAACTGTAATGTTGCTACTGTTATGAATCATAATGTAAATATCTGATATGCAGGATGTATTTTCATTGTTACAAATTGAACATAATTAAAGCATAGTGATTAATCACAAAAACAATATGTAATGATATATGTGTTTTCCGATGGTCTTAGGCGACCCCTGTGAAAGGGTCGTTCGACCCCCAAAGGGGTCGCGACCCACAGGTTGAGAACCGCTGCCTTAGCGTCCTCCTCCTTTTACAGAGAGGGAAGTGGAGGCCCAGAAGGAGAAGCGGGGTCCCTGCAAACAGCACTTCTGACCTCCCTGCAGCCTTCCCAGTGGCCTCAGAAGCCCTGCACTAGTGCCCAGACACTGGCAGGGAAAGTGGACTGAAACCCAGCCCCACCACTTACCTGCTGTAGGACTTGGCAGTCAAGAGCCTCACGCAGCCTCCGAGCCCTGCCTGCGGGTGTGGGTGTGTGACAGATACTGTGTGTGAGATGCCGTGCAGCAGCTGGCACCTGCTATGTGCTCAGTGAAACGCCGCTATTATTATCACGCTTGTTGTTTTTCGAGGTTCAACGAATGTTAGGCAACACTGTCTCTTAGGTGTCGCTTTGATTCTATGGTTCTGCTGGAATCCATTCCTAGGACGGGAGAGGAAGCAGTGCTCACCATCATCTCTGAACACGGAAATCCATATCAGGGACGCCGAGGCTCAGCTCTGTGCCTGTTTGGGATTAGACTCTGGAAGAAAGACCATGGGCTGCAGCTGAGGTAGCAGCTGCTCGTGCCCATCTCTTCCAGTGGCTTGAGGCCCATCACTCAACCTCTGTGTCAAATTTCCGTGGTCACATGAGCAGGGTAATTACCTGCCCCCTTGCCCCGGGCCCCAGGAGAGTTGATTGTGTCCATCTAAGGAAGGGTTGGCTGTGAAGTCTAACACCGTCCAGAGAGGCCACGGCTCCTGTGGGGTTTTCTGGTGAGGGCTGCGGGGAGAATGGGGGGCTTCTCTTTGGGACAGAGCTACCAGGGAGTGACAATTCGGTGCAGATGTGTAGCATCCTCACCACGGAGCCCTGGGGAGTAAGGGGTGAGACTTGTAGAAATTCCAAATTTTGCCAAATTCCAGCTCCTCCTTCCTTCCCTCTCCTCATAGAGCCCCCCTCTGGTGCCGTCAGACACCCCACCAGCTGATTTCAGCTTGGTATGGTCCAGCTTCACCCCCATGCCTAGGGCTGAGTTTGGAGCCTTTCACTAGGGGTTAATCCGATGAGTTGGGATCCCACATCTTCTCACCTAGTTCTCTCAAGACCAAAAGCAACTGGACATGCATAGACCAGGCTGGGATGAGGGGAGCAGCCAATGACAACCTGGCTGATGGAAAGCCTGTGTGAAGTGAGGACGGCAGGAGGGCGGTTCCCTTACACTTACTTGTCTGGAGATGCCTATGGGGCCTGATTTGTAAGGAGCAAGGACTCCCTGGCTCCCCACTGAAGGCATGACCTCTGGGTCTGCCCCATGATTCCTGAATCTGTTATTTGCGTCGTTCAGTCCTGAGTGCTGGAGAGATGGGGAAATGAGTGGTGATGATGGGGGTGGCTGGAGTAAGGCATGAGCTGTGACCCCACCTTTTGCCTGATTCCTGAGGCGGCTTCATTTGGCACAGGGGTGGGGAACCTTTTTTCTGCCAAGGGCCATTTGAATAGTTATAACATCCTTCTCAGGCCATACAAACTTATCAACCTAAAAATGGGCCTGCTACATTTGGTCAAACATTTAATTAACTCATCTCAAATGCCTTGGCAGGGCCAGACCAAATGATTTCTTGGGCCTTATAGGGCCACAGGCTGGACCTTCCCCACCCCTGATTTAGAAGGACCCTTTGTGGGCCTTCAGATCAACCCCTGCCCAGCAGCACCAGCAGGAAGCAAACTCCCTGGCATTCAAGGGCCTCCTGAGTCCAGACTTGCCAACCTGGCCAATCGCAACTTCCGTCAAGACCTTCCCAGCATCCTGGACCCCAGCGACACCAGGCAGCTCTTTGCCTTGAACCCATCAAATACTTCCCTCCTCAGAACCTTTTCTCTGGCTACTCATGTGGCCCATACCCTGCCCTGCCCTCCTCCTTCCCTGCCTCTTCAGAATTTATTCAAAGATTTATTCACCTTCTGTGAGAAGCCTTCCCTAACCTGGCAATACATTGCATCTTCCTCCACTTGGTTTGTTTAGTTAATATGTATTCATTTAGTGTCTGCTCTGTCTTCCAGCTGTGCTGGCCTCCTAGAACCAAGTTAGCCCCCTGTCTTCTGCCGGAGTGAAAGGAGTTCACGCGGGATTCTCTGTGGCGCCAGGGCTGGGGCAGAATCTCAGGGATTTTTGTGTCTGTTTCTCACCACCGAGTTTTGTACTTTGCCCAAAGTGTCAGATGGAGAGATGGCTTCTACTCTGGGCTCTGCCCACTAACTAGTTAGTCGCCTGGCCCTGGAAGCATCTTCAAGCTTCTCGGCCTCCCTTCTTCCTGATGGAATGGTGAAAATGACCTCAGGGTTGTCCAGGGGACACTGAGGCAGGATGGAGGGAAGCACCACGAAAGCTGGAAGGTGTGGGTTGGGTGGACCCCCATTCTCCTCTCACTGGCTGCGCAGCAGCGTCGCGTCTCCTTCCCTCTCTTCGAATGTCAAGTGCACCAGCTTCCCTTCTCTCCTGAGGCGGGTCCCCGGGACGCTTGGACTCCTAGGCCGAAGAGGATTCCGGTGCAAACTTCGAGACTTTCCTCCCGCTCAGCCGCCCCTTCCCAAGGACTCGCCGAACACACCTTAAACCCCGCGCTAGAGCGCAATTCAAGCGCAGCTCGGATCCGCAGCTCCGCAGCGCGGGCCCGGGCCGGGGTCGCGCATCTCCAGCCGGTGACTCAGGGCCGCTCGGCCCGGGGGTGGATGGAGGTAGGCGGGACCGTCCAAGGCCGCGCGGGGGCAGCCGCCGGGCGCTCTGTCGCCTAGCGTTGGGAGCCGAGACAGACTCTGGCCCGTCGCCATTCCGCCACGGGCGTCCGCCTCACCGGGCCTTCCTTCGCCGCTTCGCACCGGTAACGCTGCTCTAGCGGAGCGCAGCGGCCGGGACAGCCGGAGGGGGCTGGAGCGCCGGGCGGGGCGCTGCGCGCGCGAATGAATGGGCGCCCGCAGAGCGCGCGCGCGAGCTGAAGGGCATTAGGACCGTGAGGATCGCTCCGCGCGCCTGTCTCTCCCTATCACCCCCCCCAACCCCCACCTCTCTCCTTTTTCTGCTCTGCAGGACTGAGCAGCCGGGCGCGAGCGAAAACAAACAGCTGCGGCTGCGAGCGCCCCCGCCCCGACCCCTAGAGCTCGCCGGCCCGGGCCCCCACGCGGGGCGCCCTCCCGCCCACCATGAGGAAGATCCGCGCCAATGCCATCGCCATCCTGACCGTAGCCTGGATCCTGGGCACTTTCTACTACTTATGGCAGGACAACCGAGCCCACGCCGCATCCTCTGGCGGCCGGGGCGCGCAGAAGGCCGGCGGAAGGCCGGAGCAGCTCCGCGAAGACCGCACCATCCCGCTCATTGTGAGTCCTCTCTGTGCGCCCGGGCAGCCGGCTGGTGAGCCGCGGCGCGCGTCCTGGCCCCGCGCGGCTGCCGAGGGCGTGGGGCTGGGCCCGGGGCGGTGTGCCCGCCGCGCCCTGCTGGCTTTGTATATGTTGGAGCATTCCTGCATGTTGTTATGGCAACCTCCACCGGGCCAGCGAGGCCGGGGCGCAAGGATGGAGGGAGGGTGACAGCGGGTGGGGGTTGGGAGAAAGTGCTGCAAGTTTGGTGGGCCCGGCGTGCGCGCGCGACTGGGAACGTGGCGGCTCTCCCGACACTGAGCTGCCGGGCTGGGGCCGGGGGTGGCCGGTGCCTCGCCCGCCCGGGAAGGTGGCTGGACCTTGCGCTCAGCGAGCCGGCGGTGGGAATCGCGCTCGGCTAAGCGCGTAGGTGGCCATGCGCACCGCACACCCTCTCCAATCTCCTGGGGGCCGAGGACGTGGGGGTGGGGGCGTTAGGTGAGGCCGGGTCGCCCTGGGCTGCGTCCGGCTTTGCGTCCGCTTTTTAGCTGGGCTCAGCTTGAACCTGCTTCTTCGGCGCGGAGTACTCTCCACTAACACCCCTGGTTCTCTGGGTCGGGGCAAGGTCTCATTCTGTACGCGCCCCTCACCCCATCACGACAGGTGAGCGGGCAGTGTCTGCGCCCGGGCTCGGAGATTCCCTTTCACGAGGTCAGCCTCGAGAGGTCAAGGCGAGCGGGGAAACAAAGGCGGCAGAGACTAGGGCCTCGGCGGAGTTGCGAGGGCCCTGGGCTCCCTGGGGACCTGGGCTGGGGCGTGCGGAGTCGCCGCTGTCCTGCAGGGGGCGTGCCTGCCGGGGCGCGGGGTGACGATCTGTGGCTGGGGCACCTGTTGAGACGGGATCCGCGGCGCGCTCTGCGGGCTTCGCTCTTCCAACCTTCCAACGGGGGCGGGTGGTGTGCGAGAGCCTTGGGCGACCCTGGGGACCCGCTGCTGGGCGGATGCGGCCTGGCCAGACGAGGACCTGGAGGAGGAAGAGCAAAGTGTGGGGCCGAGGGTAGGGAGTGGAGCAGGGCAGCCATTCCGACGTGCAGAGAGGTGAGCCTGGGGAGGGAGGTGCAGGGTCAGGAGGGCCAAGGCTTGTGTGGAGAATTCGAGATGTTTGTGCAGAGGCAGCTGAGCCCCGAGAATATGGTGTGTGTGTGTGGGGGGGGGGGGGTCGGTGTGGAAGTGCTCTCATATTCCCATCCTGTTCCAGATTCTGCCTCGTTACCCGCTGGGAAGAAGTAAAGATCGCCTGCAAAGGAACCATATTTCCTGGCTTTGCCCGAGGAGGCTTTGGGGTTCTCCCCAGCCCCCCCCCAATTCCCAGACCCCTGCCTGGTTGAACTCTGGGAGTGAGCCCGATTAGGTGGAATGTCCCTTTCTGGGCCGAGGGTCCCTGCCTCTAGGACATGGTTCCAAAGCACGTGTGGATGTTAGGACAGGAAGGCTGATGAGGAAAAGCCTCCTGTGCCAAGACCCCAGAGTGTGGGGATCTGGGTGGACGGACAGACTGGAGTGGAACTAGCCCAACCAGCAGCGGCCCCAGGTCCTGAGGGAGCCCCACGCCAAGGGCTGCCCCCCTCTCTATCCTGAGTCTCAGGGTAGGTGGGCCCAGAGCGGCAGGAGACAGGCAGGCTGGCCAGATGTTCTGGCCTCTGTGTGAGGCGATGGGAGGAGGGTCTGAGCTGGAAGAGGAGGAGGGGAGAGAGGAGGGGACACGGAAGGGAAGGGAGCACAGGGAAGCTGCTGCTCAGAGCCTCAGGCTGGGTCTCGTCACATTTACCTCGCCTCAGAATCCTGACCTTGCTCTTGAACCTCTCCCCGGCTCCTCCCAGGGCCTTGGAGATCAGCCCAGAAGGCGGCTCAGACTGAGGCCCGGGGAAGGTGAGGAGGGGGGCGGGGGGGGGGGGGGGTAGGGGAAGGTACTGCTGGAGGCATGCAGCACTCATTTTGAGGGCGGGCAAGGGCAGTTCTAGTGAACATCCTCTCTCTCCCCCACATGACTGCCCCCCCTTAGGCCTCAGGAGCCTGGAAATGCACGTGCGCGGTGGGCACCCCGGTACCGACGTTTAAAGTGTGAGGAGCTAGGGAGTGGAGGTGCAGGAAGAGAGGGAGAGTGGAAGTTCCTGGGGAGTGAGTGGCAGAGCCTTCTTGGGCCACATAGGGGCACAGCCAGCTCCCTTCTGCTCTAAAGCTTTAGCCCTGGGTGTCTGTTCCATAGTCATTGGTCCCCAGGCACACACTGTGTTTGTCACAGCCTTGCCTCGTATCCCTGTCTTCTGAGGTCTTTCACTTCAGTGCTATTCCAGTCGTCTGCCGCGTCTCCTCATTGAATGTAAGCGATCACGCAGGGACTGTGCGGGAAGCTTCTTGCATCCCCACACGGATGCACACAGCAAGACTTAAGTGCTGGTTTGATGAGTGAAGGAAGCTTTCTGCCCATCTCTGGGAGCAGTCAGTGGTCCTAGCTTCACACCCGTCTCATATTTCATCCGTTCCCAGCTCCAGCCCGACTTAACCAAGGAGAAAGGGGAATGCATATTCAGCCTTTCCTGGAGTTGAACCCTTTGTTTAACTTCAAAGGGGCAGGTGCAGCTGAGCATTGGCTTTCTCCCTGAACTCTGTGGTTCACCTCTCACTAGTCTTGCCATTCCTAAACCCGGCCGGCTCTCTTTAGTTGGGCCAGGACGCTGCGTGGGGATTTTTAGATTCTTAGAGAATGATGTGGCCAGCCCTGCTGACAGGGGATGAGAAAATTCAGACAGGCATCGTCATCTTCACTCCCCTGGGGAATCAGAGAGCTGAGCTGGGAAAGGGAGGGTCTGCAAAGCAGCCGGGCCAGGAGGCAGCTCTGCGTTCACAATGTCTGGGTTATTCCGCAGCCAGCCAAGTTGCTTCTAGACCTAAGAGGCACTTGTTTGGCATCGTGGGGTGTCGGCATGGCAACCATAAGGCCTGGATTTCTCGGAGAGGTCCTGATTTTTAATATTCTGTCCTGCTGTCAGCCCATGTGTCACAGATTTTGATGGGAAAAATTGGTCATGGATTTGGTAAAACTAGAGGGAGATACTGACTGCATCCCTCATTGGCTTCTTAGGCTGTGGCAGGGTTTGTGATTTCTCCATGCTGCGCTTCATGGGCAAGGCAGTGGGCTTGGGGACATCCACTTGAGTCCACATGGATGCACGCTGCCACAGGACCTGGACGGCAGCAAAAACAGGAGGTGAAACAGGCAGGGCTGGCCTTCAGCCTTCAGGCCTCACCGCCGGGAAGAACATGTGTGATGGGTTTGGGACCCAGGTTTTCCTTATAGGAATTCTCTAGCAGGCTACGGCGGGATGCTCAGGTGTGACATGGAATTTCCCTTTACAGACGTATTTTAAAAAGACATGTTTTCAAGATAGGTGTGCTCATTTACACCATTTCATGTTTGTAACCAGGGACGTTTTAGGCAAGAGTTTTTCTAAACTGGAGTTTCTTGTCCTCCAATTGAGATATTGCTGAGTGACCCTGGACAAAATACTTACCAACTCTGGACCTTGGTTATTCTGTGTGTGAAATGGTTTCTGAGATGTGTTGTCTTTTAGATAAGCGTATTCAGTGCTAGAAGTGGATAAATGGCTTTAAAGGAGTTCTCCCAAAGGTCCTATGAGGTTTCTGGCTTGTGGAGGGACACCCCCTGTCAGGAGAAGGTCCTGCGGTGACCCCCAGGCCTCGCGGGGATCCCTCCTTACCTCGCAGGAAAGAATGGCTTCCCGGCGCTGTCCTCTGAGAGCAGAGGCTTCAATCAGATCTGTCCGGGTTTATATTTTATTTATAACGTGCGAATTTCTGAACTGTGGGAATATGATTTGCTTAAATGACAGAAAGTGATTTTACATTAAATTTATCTAGGTGCTGCACACGGGAAAGGGAGTGGGGCGGGAGAAGCACAAACACTCCTTTTGCCAAATGTTCAGATCGAAAAGGCCTGGTTTCCCATCACTGGGGTCCTGTCCTGGGTCATGTTGAGACCTGCTCGTGGGCCTTAGGGACAGCACAGAGTCACCAAGGCTGGTAAAGGCCCTGCAGCCTGAGTCACCTCCCTGGGAGGCCCCGAGGAGCCCAAGGGCACGGGATTAGTTGTAGGGCGCTGCTCATTCCGGTCCCTTATTTTTGTGCCTTAACAGGGATTACCCCTGGCTGCTCCTAGGGCCTTGGGCCTGGCTTTCTTCTCTGGTGGCTGTTTGTTGGCTCTGCGAGTGGAGCTCTGGAAGTGCCACTTAGGTCCATGTGGAGGGGCACTGAGAGGCCAGGCTGGGCCGAGTTCCCGGGGGCACTGTCTGTCTTGCTGTAATGGAGGAAACCGCCCTGGGGTGAGAGGTGAGCCTGGAGCCACGCAGTTCATTACAGTGAGAAGATGGAAGCTTTATCCCCATCTGTTTCTTGAGACCTGAGACACCTTCCCGCTGAACAGCAGGGCAAAGACACAAGAGAGCTAAACAGACAGGCGACCCAAGACTTCTCAAAGCGAGCAGGGAGCAGAGCTTTCAGACGAGAGTTACTCTGGGCAGTAATTCAGTTCACCAAACCGGACACTGTGCTTGAAGCGGTTATAGATGGTGTAGAGCAAGCATGTCAAACTCAAAGGCTAACATGGGCCAAATAAACGAGGCACGCGGCCCATGGGCTGTGAGTTTGACATGCTTGGTGTAGAGCCTGCTCTGGAAACAAGTGGCTTAGTCTCTCTCTAAGTGCTTGTGGTCTTGGCTCTGCACCCACCCAGCCTCTGTAATCGCTGTTACCTCGGTATTACATTTATGGTGGCTGATTCATTGGTCGCTGTGGTAGGTGCTTTACAAGCTTTGAATGCCCTCAACAACTTGTGAGGAAGGTGCCATTTATCTGATCCAGTTAACATGCGCGGAAAGTGAGGCTTACAGAGATTCATGACCTGGCAACCAGTGCGTGCCTCTGACACCCAGCATTTCTGCCTC